TATGAGATATGCGGTTTACAATACACATACTTTTAGTGGCTCAAACAATGGTGTTGTTATTATTTTAAAATAATGGAGCCACAAAATTAAACATGATTTGTCTAAATAGAAAGAGTATCTGAATTGCCTTAAACCTCGTGACCTGTATAAACCCGAAAACTAGTTCAAATTAAAGATGTATTATCAAAATAATAATTATTCACACAGTATTTAAATCTAAAATATGAATGTGTTAAAAGTATAATATAATATTCTATTGCAACGATATTATACGTTATTTTTAACTATGATAGTTACATTATAAAAAAAAGCGGGTAAGTGGATGTCGCTCTGCTGTACAGTAGGTTACAAGTGAGTCATTGTATAATGGATGGTTTTAAACTTGAATTCAATGATATAATATCATTGTATAAGAAAAATGATTCTGAGCGGAGACGGTTCGTCAGTCTGGATATTTTATATTGTTATTAGTTATTATATCATGTGAGTTGAATTAATATTATAATATTATTTTTTTTTTTTATTCGTTTCTATCAAAATAAACAAAGCGTTAGAAATTAAAATCCAATTTTTAGTGGTTTTTCGTAATTTTTCGGTGCACATGGTTTTTACAGTGGCATTAAATAACTATTGATGAAATCGAAAAATTACCCTCTTAAAGTACCATCTTGATCCAATGTGCTAAAAGATAAGGTACTATATGTTGAAATCGAAGAACTCCTTCTGGTAGAAATTTTGTATACAGGATATAAAAAAAAAAATAAAAAAATAAACACCATTGTAAAACCACTAGCTTCCTCGCTCCGCTCAGAATCTAATATACATGTAGTTTACATGTGTATACATGAATTTAATTATAAGCTACTTAAGTTTTGGAAAATATAAATGTTATATAATTCTAACGGTAAAAGTATCTTACAGGTATTAAAGAATCAACATAATTAGATTTAATATTGATAATTAAAATATCATCATCTAAATTTAACATATTATTATTCATTTAAAAATAAAATGTATTTAAAATAATTTGAACTTATTAAAATATAGTAAGTACTAACTAATTACAGCTTATCGATGTCTTCAGATGACCTATTTTTATAATATTATAATATTAATTTATTCTCAGAAGAATATCAGCATTAGATAACCAAATAAATGTATATCGTTTACTTAATCCGGTTTGAGAAAATAGTGTCCTTTTTTGAATTTTGATAACCTCTCATTGATAAACTCATAAGTATTAAAAGTACAGTATTAGTATAAGTAAATAAAGTTTTTATGAGCGGAGTGAAGTTGTAACTGGAGTGGGGTTCCCTTAAAAATATTGTTATACTACTCCGCTCGTCTATACTTTAATAGCTATAAATAATAAACTACTCGTCCAAAATTTGATTTATTATAATTCAAAATACTCTTGATAATATTCTGCTTTTGGAATATAAAATTAAAAATATATGTTGTCATTGAAAAGAGAAAAACTTGTAAAAAAAAATGACAGTGAGTAAAAAATATAATAATTTTCCAAAAATGTTGTTTGTAGTGAATTAAAATTATGTAACTGAAACTTCCAGATCACCCAGTGTACGAAGATGTGAATATATTTTTAATTAGTGTACACAGTGCACGTATGCAAAATAATGGGCGTATAGTAAGTACAGTGTACACGTCATTAATAATTTAAAGGTAATAATTGTTTGACCAAAGTTCTGTACACAATAATATACCCTATTCCTGTATATATATTTTACATTTATCTTAATGATATTTTAAGAGACACGTCGGGCTGTCGTGTTGTTCAGTTAAAGTATTCTGACTTTAGTAAACGACTGAGAAGTAAATGAGTGCACACACCGTGTCCGACATGTTAAAATTGTGCGCTGTATTTGCTCAACTATTGCGCACTCCGTCTCTGTGTATGGTTGTCAGTTGCAAGACTTGTATTTACTAAGCGAATAACTGTAGACGATGATCAGCTGGCTTTGGCGTGTTTAAATCACGCGGTTTTTAGTAGTGATACTCACATAATACGTATAATATAAGTTTTATAACAGCTATTTTCACTTAAACTGGACGGCAGTATTGTAGGTCACAAAGATTTGTAGAACATTTCGAGTAAATAACGAAATTAGTTTGGGGCTTTTTGTTTTAATTAGTCTTGAATTTGATTTCAAAATCAAGTGACCACTTAAAAATATATTCTTTACAATTTTACCAATATCCATATAATTAATGAAGAACGACAAGTTTTTTATACAAATTTCTTAGTTTCAACTAGTTAGTACAAAATATGAAATAATTATGTGTAAGTATAGAATTTACATATTTTCTCATATTATTCTGTATATGATTAACCAATTATAATATTATAGTAAAAAAAATAACAAATATTAGTATAATATTATATAATAATAATTAATACATGTGCAACTAATTAACTGATTCATCAATACCGATTGATATTGGTAACCAAGGCAACGGTTGCAATGACAGGCAGATGTGAACGAAGAGGGGAAACGCTCACATAAAAATTTTAAAATAATCGTTTAATAATGATATTATAAAAAATAAAAATAAATTGTGTTATTATCCATATAATATCTGCTGTTGAGTAATAATATTATTTGTCCATGAAATATTTTTTACTTGCTCTGCGGGCACTACAAACCCAAACTCGGTACACTTGAATAAAAAAAAATATATTTATTTTTAATGTAGTTCTCATGACAACAATTTATTGTTTTTGTTATTTATAAAATTGTTTTTAACTCATTTTTAATTGTATCAGGCTTATAATGTTTAATTTGCATTTATATCTGCAGTAGCCTCAGTGTTATAAAAATATACTCTTACGAGTTACGAGTAGTCTTAAGTTTTGAAAACAGTTTGAACTTTACTGTGTAAAAATATATGTTTAATGTTACCACGGTGAAATTTATATTGCTTCTTTGGATTATTGGAGGATTTACTTTCAAAATTGTGGTTTTGTGTCAATATTTTTTTCAACCACATTGCTACAGTTTTGTTTATTTTTGTTGATTAGAGGATTTATTATAATAACATGATATTATATGCATACTTGCGGTGTGTATTTTATTTTTCTGTATTTTCTCCATACTAGGATATTTGTTAAAATATTTGGATATATTTTATAATTATTGAATAGAAGTTAGAACTGCTCATTTCATTAGGTTGAACTGTAATTTGAAGTGGTAAGTTTAATTCAAGTTTAAAAGTTCACAATTTAGAAACTGCAATAATAACTTTACTTGATATCGTGGATGGTTATGACAAATGACATAGTATATGTATATTGTATAGGTTACGTATATTATTATATAAGTGCTACTAATCTATACATAGCTATAAACGTATATACCTACTAGCAACGAACAAACGTACGTGTTGTTCTGTAAAAATTAAATATGAATTTATCTTTAAAACATACATATAGTATATAGTTTATTATACATTATGTACAATTTGTAGGGTCCCTTATTTTTAGAATATACGAGTAAAGTGAACATGATAATAATATATGTACTTACTTTTTGTTAGCATAACGCCTTACCTTCTTGATTATTGGAGTTTATTTTTTTTTTAGATTTGCGTGAATAAAAATATATATTAAATTTTATATTGCGTAATAATGAAGCTTGTCAGTGATACACAAGGACTGCACCGAAAATGAAAGTATAATTTTATTTCGATTAGAAATTGAATCTAATAAATATATTATTTGTCAATTTTATTGATTCACGAAGTATAAAAAAACTTTAAGAAAGAATATTGTAGAAATTTAAGCTTTAATTTAAATGAACTGAGAACCACCGTAAATCATCAATCCTAATTGATTTCACAATTTGAATTCCGCATCTTTAAATGGACTTATTATGTAGTTTGTTTGTGTATTTTTATGTTACTTACATAAAATAATGTCGATATACCTATATCATTTTTATTAAAATCAATAATATTACAAATTGTAAATTTCGTACCTAAGACTAATATAAAAATATATTATTTGCTTTGGAATAATATTGTAATAAGATTCTTTATTTTCAGGGACATCTCTGGTGCTTTGAAAAGTACTCAATGTTACACCAATTTCTTTTGAACTAAATAATAATGCTGTATGAAAGGTGAAAATGTCAAATACGTGAATCTGGAAAGAATTCATTTTATTTTAAAATATTTAAATGGATTTTGTAAAAACAAATTTTGTATTTTATACGAACCTATTTAATACAAACGGGAAAAACAAATTTATTTGATATTACGTGACTAGAAAATACGGAAGACGGACTCACGTGGAATCATTATTAGGCAGGGATAGTGTCATTTATTTCTTGAGATTTTTTCTTTTTTACTCTCTAATTTATTTTTTCCTTAATATTTTTGTCCGTCAATATTTTCAAAGTCGATAAGTACATATTCCGTCCACATCAACGTGCGTATTAAGTGCATTATATTTATATTGTGCGTATGTTATAATAAACAAAAGAAAGTCGAAACCAGGAGTGTCCAATAATATTACACGTTACATTCAATTCGAAAGTATACGCTTCACGATCGCTTAATAACCATTTTGCGTTGGTGGATGTGAAGGGGATGGTCCACGTACCGATAAAATGTATATACGCAGCAGCAATACAATAATAATAATAATAGTAATATAATAATAATATGATTTAGAGTGTTGGGACGTGTGGTCGTAATTTATACGGAAAACGCGTAATAATAGTAATATAATTCGTATCGAAACATCGATCTCGGGCGGGGTGGTATTTCTGGGTAACACGGGAGCGTCGGGAGTCGGTGCACTGTAAATTATATATAAGGGACAGGCAGTAACGACACCGGAGTGGCGGTGGCGGTGGAGGCAGAAAAGCCAGGAGCCACGACAAACTCGAGTACCGAGCTGGTGCTCTGGTATATAATTGTAGGTATACGAGAGCATATATATATATGACCAAAATTTGATTTCCCCGCCAGCGGGCTATATGGTGTGTGCCGTCGAGTTGGCTACTTGCGTCGTCGGCGGTAGTGGTGGTGGCAGCGAAATCGAGGTGGGGGGAATGGTGAAGGGGTCGGACTCATCTCGCCGGGCAAGTATTATAAGTAAGTGCACCCTCGACGGTAGTTCCACGAAGCGGTTCGCCATTTCTTCGTCTCGTGCAAACACTTGGCATATCATTACGGGTATTATCGCTGCGGAACAAAACGGACCGCCACCGCCGTTTATGCTCACACCCCACACCCGGGACGGCGTAACAACGCACCACCGACCACCCACTGCACGTCTGCTGCACCGCCACCTCACGACCGCCAAAAACCCGAACGATATAACATCCGCCATCATCGGAATATCCGATCCATAATTTCGTATTCCCCACACTGAATGGACGGCAGCCGCGACGGCGCAAACAGAAATTTTTTTCTTCTTTTTATCCACTCGGAGTAGTTGTTATCGCCGTTACACACATATACACACATGTTACACACAATACGGTTTGTATATTATTTTCATTCGACCGTAACACGATGATAATAACAAAATATCACATCTGTAACAGTCGAGTATAGGTAGATAGGTACCTATATCTTGGGACGTTCGATTGAGATATTAGTCGCCGGGTGTTGCGCACGTGCAGTCCGTTTGATATAACACTATGGGTAGGTAGTGTACACGGGCAACTGGCCCTCTAGCAATCGTAGATCATAAAATTCGTGTTCGCACTACGTAGGTATTTCCCACTAATATTCGCTCGTGTACTACACATATAGTATATGCAACCAAATACCGGAATACCTACCTATATAGAATCTTCGGTGCTGCAGGTTCTCGATCTCCGCCCGGTCTATAGACTCCAACAAAAAACGAAATATATTATGTAATAATTTGACCGGATAGGAATCCGCCGTTAACCGCAGTGCAATAACGTACACGATCGTCCTATGTTTATACCTGTATAGATGGGTCATGGGTATATAGTAAACACTCCCTATTGGAACTATACACATGATAATGCGCTATTTTTTTATTATTATTATTATTATTATTGTAACCGTTGTTCACGAGTGCAATATATTATCGTTATGACGTGAGGCACTTATATTATGTGAAACAACAAACAATAAATTCGGACATAATTACTAGTGATGTTACGAACACTGGTTTTTGAGGTCAAACCAAACCTTTTAAATTTTATCGAACTCGAATCAAATAACAGATTTTGATTCTGATTCAAGCCCGAGACAAATACAATTTTTAAACATACTTATAAGTTTAAAATTGATGTTACTATATTGATGTGCCATTAGGAATATTCCCCAACCTCTCGGGAAATTTCTTAAAATAAAATGTATTGTTTGTATGTTATTCAGTGTCCAAGCCAACGGGTAGGATATCATAATTATTATATTACCTCGTACCACCACTCCGCCACCGACCGACACACACACGCATACACAGCGCACACCTGATTGTCAATATATTAAATCAATTAATTATTTTTGTATTGTTTTTATGTTATCTTGTGAATTATATAATAATATGTAGATTACGCGTGAACGTTCGCCGACGCGACACTTTAGCACGGCCGCCGAAAGTTATCCAGTCCAGGTTCACGCACCGGTGTCAACGAAGAGCGCAACATTTTTTTATTTCGTGTGCCGGTCGCTCGTGTTATCCAAAAATATTCTCATTATAGGCGCGAATCGCCTAAGTTGTAATTACATAAATATTACCATTGTAGGTGCGAATCGCCGAAGTTTTAATTATATATAGTATATAATATTGGTTGTAGGCGCGAATCGCCTTTCATGCCGAGCATATTATAATATTGTGAGGCAAATCGCCATCATTAGTGTTGGTGCTCACAAAGCGCTGGACATATTACTATTTTATATTGTTTTATATCTTGTGCGACAACTCGTCACTGCTTATTATCTTTCGTTACCTACATTACTATTTTTTAGTGTTAATTATATTTCTCAAGTTGTTATTATTATTGTGTGTCGATTTTTAATGTATTATATAGGATAGGTAGCAGCTGGCCAGCCGTGCACCGTCAATATTGTGAGTAACATTTATTATTATATTCCATTACAGCTTTAATAGCTGCATTATATATTTTATACTATTGAGCATATTTATTATTCTTAGCTGCTCAAATAGCTTATTATTTACAATTATTATATTATTGCGTCTGTTAGACCAAAAAGGGTCATAATATTTAATTTGTATATTGTGCATTATATTTATATTATTGAAGCATAATTATAACATATTGTTTCAAAATTGAAAATACGCGTTTGACATTTTATTATTTAAGTATACACACAACCACAAATACACACCTACACACACCACCTGCACACTAGTACTCACAGGTCTTGCTCAGCGAACCTGTCCAATTCCTGTTGAGTACTAAAACAAATACACACACAAGGTGCACAATCTGGTCGGTGTGCGACAGGTATTATACGATATATTTATATAAGTATTAAAAATTCGCAGCGAAGAAAATAGGTAACCGGGCTCACGTTTTATTATTTTCTTCGCTGCGAATTAATTTTAGTATGTTTATTTTTATTTTTTCCAAATGATATTTAATTGAAAGTTGGATCGTTTATTCTGTGACCATTGTACTGATTTTAATTGAAAAAATAAACTATAGTTACTTAATAACTTTTTTTTAAAGAATAATCATCTAAACTGACATAATATCAATAAAGAGCTGTCATTTGGATCATTTACAACCATAAGTTTAATTTAAAACTGAAACCTATGATCAATATTTAAAAACTTATTATATTCCCGGGAATTTGCTAGATATGACATTATTCAAAAGACTAACAATAATTAATTACAATTTAATCAAAATTATAATAATAATAAATATATCTTATGATCGTTCTTCAACCAACTGAGTTCTAATATTAATTCCATTATAGTTCAATTTTTGAACCGACCTAGCAGCCCAAAATTCTTGTTTAAAATCGATTAATTTAAAATTTTAATCATTATTAATTTGTAAGTATCACTATAATAATAACTATTCATTATACTCAAACACGGTTTAAAATTTAAATGGGTATTATTTGGCATTTACGATCGGTATATCACATAAGCTCGGTATAGCTCACTCTGTGGTTTTCACACTGTTCTTAGGATTTTTAATAGAGGAAACTAGAAAATTTGTTTGCAAACCTTATACTATCGCGTGGTCTAAGCTCTCTCGCTGAAGGACCCATCACGATAACAACAGAATATTATAAGTTAAGTCTCAACAAATATTATACTATGCCTCAAATTTATAAAAGTGTATGAATTCAAAGTTGTTATTAATTTTTGAGACACAACATCAATAACGTCTTCTTCGGAATCCATAACCATTTATCCGTGGATTTCTAACAAGTAACAATGTTAACTCATTAAGACCTTTCTAATAATTGGCGATAAATCTGGAAAAATAAAAAGTCATAGGTATTTGTAAATTAATGTAATATAGTCCTTAATTCAGTCATTAATGCGCTTCTATAAAATATGCTTAAGTTTCTAAAATACGTTAAAATGTTCTTTCAGACATCTACGTAGACACTAATATTTAGGAATTGGGCATAGTGCATAATATTTTAAAATAATTTCTAAATATTGGGAAATAATGAATGAGTATTGAATACATAAATGTAGAGAACCGCTCACTGCTTTAGGAAATATAATACGACTTTATTTCAGTTTTTCCTACCATATTTAATATTAGTGGTTTGAATATCAGCCGAGTTGATGTAAAAACATTTCCAAACAGTTGATAACAAAAATTACCCTACTACTCAATAAAAAAATATCCTAAAAGTTACGAATCAGTAATTATTTATCAATTATCACAAAATTGAAAATACATGTTATAATTATTTTTCACTTATAGGATACCCGCATGAAAAACACTCCAATGTCAAAAGTACCAGTTATTTGGAATTATAAATTTAAAAAAAATGTCATTGGGAATCTATCCCCTCATATCCACCCCCTCCCCCGGAACGCCCATTCCATCTCTAAACGCATACAATACAATTATATTATGCGATACGTAAAATGGTATGCGAAATCATCGTGGCTTTTAAACGATTGTTCACACAGACGCACTTCAATTCCATACGAACACTCAAAAACACGCCGGTCGTCATATTTTAGACTTCTGTGAAGTTGACCCTTCTACCTTGCCAGAAAGGATTCAAAATAGTGCCAAATAATAGCGGCAATTTCATTTTTTAGATTATTTTGCTTATTGTTTGTGTATAATTTTAAAAATTCATTTTAAATTGTTGGTGGTATTTTGAAGATATAGTTGGATGAATTAGGGTAAAGTAATAAAATATTAATTAGTATTTCAATTTTAATTATTTGGTACTATTTTTAATTCAATATACCAGGCAAGATAAAGGGAGATTGGGACTTAATTTATTTTTACTTTGTTTTCTTCATTTAGGCGACCTTAAGGTCAATGCTCGTCACTGCTTGGCAAAAGTTGGAAGTAGAGAGATCTGTGATCCACACGTGTATAATATATATTGTTATTTTTATATCTAAGACTGAGTGGATTACACATCCATTATATAGTGGACAATAGCACAATATGGTATGCTGGCCGTGAGGAACTACACATTTTTAGCTGTGTGCTATGAATTGAACCAATAATTGTGCAAGTCTTGGTTAACTCTGAAACCACTCGGCGACTACAACGGCCCCAGGTAAACATAATTGATACACTCAATACTAGTATTGACAACTAGTACTACAACGTCGTAAACCAAGATCGTCTAGTTTTTTAGGATTTTGGCCATCCGCACAGCTATACAAGTATACAATGGTGTCGAACATCGGTTAAATCATTTACCTATATTAAACAACGCCCTCTAAAAAACATGCCCATTATTTACAGCTGTGTGAGTCTCGTTGATAAACTACTCACACATATAAAATATATTCTAAAGATAAGATTATACTAAAAATATTAAACTCCCCGCTATATAAAAATTATTGCTTTTAAATGTATATTTATTTTTAGTAATAGAAATATCTATGTGAGTATATTTGAATATTATAATATGCTATTTTTAAAATCTTATCAGTAACAAAATTAAAAAAAAAATGGAAATAAGATAAATAATTATTTTATAACTGAATTACATTTGATTATTTTACCCAAGTATTGGTCTAATATTATAGCTTAGAATGTAATAGGTACCTACAATATTATAAAATATTATTTTCTATTATCAAAACTGAAACTTGCAAGCATGCTTTTATATATAGGTGCAAGGTTAATCTCTATATATAAAAATTAATGTTTGTTTGTATTTTTGTTCGTTAGTC